AGCTCCGGAGCCTGCAGTGTGTCCCCAGAGGTGAAGCGCGGGCGTCACCTCTCTCCCGCCCAATGCACACTCAGTCCCCTGGTGGCTGTCATCTTCCCGTCTGGTTCCGACTCCTCTGTCCTGGGAGGGGCAGACGTGGGTCCAATTTTGGTGCCGTTGCTCCCTTAATTCTCCAGGTGTTTTACGTTATATTAATCTGTATGAATTTTTATGTAGTTCACATTTTTAATTCCCTTTTGCTGTATTCTTATGAAATAAAATTTCCTTTTAAACCTAAGGGGTAAATATTCTTTGATGAACTTTTCCATCGTTATACATTATTTGGTAACGTCCCTGGAATGCAAGTTATAAGATACGAGTATTTCTATTTTTCTCATACACATCTTTTTTTGTTTGTTTTTTTGCAGTGTATTCATTTGGCTATTTCACCATATTCATGTACAAAACCATTCATTTCTGTGATTTTAAACTCATGCTTATGCTATTAAACTAATTTGACTTTTTCCAGAAACAGTCATGATCTGTTTTGTTGTAATTTGGTTATCCTCCAGTATTAGGGCTAAATCATATTTCCTTTTGCTAAAGAAAAAAAAAAAAAAAAAACCTTGAGATTGAAAGTTCATACTTCCTAGTGGTTTCCTTATGTGACTTATTTTATAAAAATTAATAAATATACCCCTTTCCCTTCTCGTGTTCGCATAGAATTCCTGGCACAAAGAAAACTTTCCAGCTCCTTCTAAAGCATGCAGGTTGCCGAAACATAAAGAAATCCTTGGGAAACACTGCCATGGGTATTTTGTTCTCGGTTGATCCAGGAAAGGTAGGATAGGCACATGAATGAGAGGGTTCTGTTCCGGGTTAGGCCAGCATACTCCAAAGTATGTTTTACTTGGTTGTTTGGATGAATATAAGCCATGAAGGGATGTTTTGGATTTGTAAATGGCAGCGTGTTTATGTACCATAAAGTAGCTTATGTGCCATGAGGTAGTTTGACCAACGTGTTGTAACATTTTTAAGGATGTGGATGGAGAGCTGGTGTTATCTCCTTTTTAGGGATGTAAGATAGGAAACATAGATTCAGGTCATTAAAATTCTGGGAGAAGCCAGTGCAGCCTCCTGGCTGAGCCTGCAGGTGCTACAGGCAGGCTGCGGGAGGTGACCTGCCCTCCCTATTTTTTTTAGCTATGTAGCCTTGGACAGGCGGCTTAGCTTTTTTTCTGCCTCAATTTTGTCTTCTGAGCATAATAGTAGCACCCATCTCATGGAGTTATTGTGAAGGTTGAAAAGTGAATACCAGTGAAGAGCTAAGAAAGGTGCCTGGCTCTGAGGGGGTGCTCAGTGAGCACATCACTACTNCCCGCCAGCTCTCTTGGTTGGCTGCCAGTCAGTGCCCGTCAGCAGGGACCCTAGCTGCAAGGTAAACTGAGCACCCAGATGTTGAGCAACATGTAGGGCTGAAGTGGAATTCAGAAAACTTTAAAACAAGGTGTGGTGGAGAACTGCAGGCTGAAGAAAAGACTGCAGGCTGCATGTGGACGTAAAATGTATTTCCGGGGGGGCATTCCAGGCCAGCATGACCCGGTCAGCAGGACACTTTCCTTTCCTTCCTCCCCACCATGCTTCCCATTTAGGGGATTTTATTTTTCTTCAAAGTTCTGTAGGTCATGAGCTTAATTTTGTTATATCCATAGAATTTGTTTTTGATAATGCAGCCCAGATATTGTTTATTGGTTTTGTTATGCAGCTTGTCAAATTTTCTGCTTGTTTCTATCTCAGAATTTTTGCTTTCCAGCATATTTCTAACATTTTAAGATAGCAAACTTTGAAAACTCTGAAGGCTTTCCTTACTGAGAGTAGATATTCATTTTCAAGACAAACTGTTTCATTAGCATTTTCTTTGTAAGAGAAAAACAAACATTTTTGGTCCACGGGAACTTCAAACATTGCTATATTAGAGTGCTTTGAGGCTTCTAAAAATTCATCCGTTTATATGCACGTTTATGTGTCTGCTTTTCTTTATTTTTTACTAGCAAATGGTTTGTAACATGAACATCAGTGCTCAGCTGTGAGATCGCCTATTCTAAAAGACAGACTTACTCGTTTGACTCAAGTTATAGCAGCCCTTCCTTAAAAAACCTAAAAATGGGGCCGGCCCGGTGGCGTACTGGATAGTGCGCCACTTGGGAAGCGCGGCGGCG